GGGGGGACCAGGGGCAGCCTGAGGCTATGCTGGGGGGCTGCGGTAGGTGGGAAGACCAGGGGCAGTGCCGGGTACTGGGGGGTGGGCAGTCAGGTGTACGGGGGTGGTCGGGGGGCGCTGGAGGCCACACTGGGGAGGGTTCCTCGGTGGTGCAGTTGCTGGGGCCGCCTGGGTTCTAGGGGGAGGGTTCCCTGGTCTCTGCCCAGGCTGGAGCCCCTCCCTTGTGCCCCACTGACCTTTTCTGGTAGCTTTTCTACCCTCCCTCCCTCCTTTCGCGCCTCCCACCTCGGGCTTGGGCGAGGAGGCCGTGTCCTGGGCCTGGCAGGAAGCCTCCAGGTGGATGTGGTGGGCGGCCGGGCCCGAGGCGGTCACCTGGGATGTTGAGGTTTCTGTGAGTGAAGCTTCCTCTGCTTGGAGCTGGCCGTCAGGAAGTGGCTGCCTGTCAGCTCCCTAGGGAGCAGGTGTGGGTTAAAGAAGGTGGGTGGCTGGAGGAAGAAGGCACAGATGGGGAACTCTGGCCCCCAGCTTTTGGAAAGTTCCTTGTACTTTGTGGCTTTGAGTGGGTTAAAGCTGGGATACGTCTGGCCTTGGTGGAGATTACTAGGGTTCATGGTTCTGCATGGTTTTCGTAGCCGGAGACTTCCTGTTTTATCAGTGCAAGTACAGGGCCGCCGCCCCCTCCACAAAGCCCTTCCAGATGCCTGCAGCTGTGCTCTCCCTGGCCCCTTCCCTTCCCTCCGGTGTCTTTCTGCACCTTCCCGTGGAGCTACGTGTTTGTAGCTTCCCCGTCCCTACTTGACCTGCATGAGGGGTCTGGTCGCGCTCAGCTTCCTATTCTGCAGGCCTTGGGAGCTGCTGGGTGCTGGATGTAGGGTGTCGGGCAGTGCTGGCCGAGGCTTCGACACTAACCTGTTCTTTATCAGCTCGGCTTTTTCCCCTTTAGTGCACTCTTAATGATTTCAAAAAGTAAAAAACTCCGTCGAGATGGCTTTTAACAAAGGAGAAACCAGTCTCTGACGCGGCAGAGAGACACTGCCCTTTCTCTTCTCCGAGTCCCAAAGTGCCGGCTGGTGTGGCCCCTCCTCCTTGGCGGGGGAGCCGGGGGGCCGACCCTGACCGTCTGCATCTTCTGTTTCAGGCCCAAGGTCCCGGAGGCTATGGCAGCGGCTACCATCGTGCACGACACGTCTGAGGCCGTGGAGCTCTGCCCCGCGTACGGCTTGTACCTGAAGCCCATCACCAAGATGACCATCAGCGTGGCGCTCCCGCAGCTGAAGCAGCCGGGGAAGTCCATCTCCAACTGGGAGGTGATGGAGAGGCTGAAGGGCATGGTGCACAACCACCAGTTCTCCACGCTGCGTATTTCCAAGAGCACCATGGACTTCATCCGCTTCGAGGGGGAGGTGGAGAACAAGAGCCTGGTCAAGTCTTTCCTGGCCTGCCTGGACGGCAAGACCATCAAGCTCAGCGGCTTCTCCGACATCCTGAAGGTGCGCGCGGCCGAGTTCAAGATCGACTTCCCCACCCGCCACGACTGGGACTCCTTCTTCCGCGACGCCAAGGACATGAACGAGACCCTGCCGGGGGAGCGGCCGGACACCATCCACCTGGAGGGGCTGCCCTGCAAGTGGTTCGCCCTGAAGGAGTCGGGCTCCGAGAAGCCCAGCGAGGACGTCCTGGTCAAGGTGTTTGAGAAGTTCGGGGAGATCCGGAACGTGGACATCCCCATGCTGGACCCCTACCGGGAGGAGATGACGGGCCGCAACTTCCACACCTTCAGTTTCGGGGGGCACTTGAACTTCGAGGCCTACGTGCAGTACCGCGAGTACGTGGGCTTCATCCAGGCCATGAGCGCCCTGCGCGGGATGAAACTCATGTACAAGGGGGAGGACGGCAAGGCCGTGGCCTGCAACATCAAGGTGAGCCCTGGGCGCCGAGACCCACGCGCTTCCTCCCTCGGGCGGCTTCCTTCCAGCAGGGTCAGTAGATCGCTCCCAGCCACACCACTTAGGCTGTGGGGACCTCCCCTGAGTAAAACGACAGCAACAGCCCCGTTCCCGTCGAATTTCAGAGACACAGGTGTGAGGTCGAGTAGGGGGTCCGTGCTGTGGTTTTGGAAATTCGGTATCTGAAGGAAGATGTCTAGTAGGTGAGGGTTGGACTCTCAGGCACTGTGACAGGGATTTGAACCGTATCAGAACCAAGAGAACATGGCCTTCCCAGAATGCTCCTTGAAACTAGGGATTAACGTTCCCTTAAGCCTCATGTGCTGTTTGTTTGTTTGTTTATTTGTTTGTTTTCGAGACAGAGTATCGATCTGTTGCCCAGGCTGGAGTACAGTGGCGCGATCTCCGCTCACTGCAACCTCCGCCTCCTGGGTCCCAGCGATTCTCCTGCCTCAGCCTCCCGAGTAGCTGGGACTACAGACGCGTGCCACCACGCCCGGCTAATTTTTATATTTTTAGTAGAGACAGGGTTTCGCCGTATTGGCCAGGCCGGTCTCAAACTCCCGACTTCGTGATCTGCCCGCCTGGGCCTCCCAAAGTACTGGGATGACAGGCGTGAGCCACCGTGCCCGGCCTTGCCTGATGTATTTCGACCCGTGTTGGCTTCGCGGTGACAAATGAACCAGCCTCCTGGAGGAGGTTTTGTGGCCTTAAGATGTGCCCCGTGGGCGTGGGCAGGAGGCCCCGGGGTGGCTGTGGCCACAGGAGATGGTGGAGCCGGGTAGCGGAAGGGGAACCGTGTCTTGCCACAGTGGCGCGTCACTTACGTCCAGTAAGTGGCGAGGGGTAGTTGGTGTTCCTCGTAACTCCGTGGGATGAGCTAAGTCTTGAGCCACTGATGGTGACTTGGAGGGACTGGTTTGGCTTCTGGGCCCCACTGTCTGGGTCTGCACCGGACGTGAGTGGTGAGCGGGCGCTCAGGCTCTGAGGACTCAGCCCTGCGGCCCGGGAGAGGGAGAAGGCGCCTGGCCGTGTGTCTGGGGGGCTTTGGGGGAAGGCCGTCTCACACCGTTTTTTGCTTTTAAAGGTTTCTTTTGATTCGACCAAACACCTGAGTGATGCGTCAATTAAGAAGCGGCAGCTGGAGAGGCAGAAGCTTCAGGAACTGGAGCAGCAAAGAGAAGAACAGAAGCGCAGAGAGAAGGAAGCGGAGGAGAGGCAGCGAGCGGAGGAAAGGTACCTTCTGCGGGAGGGGCCCTCGGCACTGGTGTCCGGCACCTGGGAGTGTGCGCAGACACGTGTGCGTGTGTATGCGTGTATTCCTGGGTGGGTGTGTGCGTGCTTGTGAGCTTGTGTGTACCTGTGTGCGTGGAGGCATGTGTGCCTGTAGCACGCGTGCCTGTGAACAGGTGTGTGTACTTTGTATGTACGTATGTGTGCCCGTGTGTGTGCCTGTGCATCTGTGCACCCGTGCCTGTGTGTGTGCATGCGTGCCTGCGTGCATGTGTGTACCTGTGTGTGTATGTACACGTGTGCCCACGTGTGTGTGCGCCTCTGCATCTGTGCACACGTGTCTGTGTGTGTGCATGCGTGCCTGTGAGTGCCTGCGTGCATGTGTGTACCTGTGTGTGTATGTACACGTGTGCCCACGTGTGTGTGCGCCTCTGCGTCTGTGCACACGTGTCTGTGTGTGTGCATGCGTTCCTGTGAGTGCCTGCGTGCATGTGTGTACCTGTGTGCGTATGTACACGTGTGCCCACGTGTGTGTGCCTCTGTGTGCACACGTGTCTGTGTGTGTGCATGTGTCTGTGAGCTCGTATGTGTACCTTTGTGCATGTGTGCCCATGTGGGTGTGCCTCTGCATCTGTGCACATGTGCCTGTAAGCTCCTGTGTACCTGTGTGCACGTGTGTGTACCTGTGTGTATACCTGTGTGCATATGTACACATGTGTGCCCGTGTGTGTGCCTCTGCGTCTGTGCACATGTGCCTGTGTGTGTGCATGTGTGTGAGCTCACGTGTGTACCTGTGTGCATATCTATGCATATGTGCCGTGTGTGTGCCTCTGCATCTGTGCACACGTGCCTGTGTGTGTGCACGTGTGTGCGCTCGTGTGTGTACCTGTGTGCATATGTACGCATGTGTGCC